CAAGAGGCACATATTGGCCATTTTCTCTCTCTTGCCCTTTTATTTCCTTATCTTTAGTCTCTAGGCTTTGGTCTTAAACATTGAGCAAGCCAGTCTTAAAGTAAGAGTACTGGGGTTTAAATATTTGATGTCTATAATCTTACAGTCATTCACCCCTTTTATTTAATTGGGGTTGGTATTAGGAGTGGAAATTAGCCCTACATCCTGTACTTCTACAGATGATGGCCTATTATCTCAAATTAACCCAAGTTGTCATATTGAAAGTTGAACTTTTGTAGGACACTAACAGACAACAGTTAAAGTTTACAAGGAAAATATCAAATAAAATTTGTGGGGACCCACTCTGAATGATTTGTGCCTTCCATCCTGGAGAGGCTTTGACTGGTCACTACATTTCATAGTGACCTGGACATTGTCCCAGTCCAGGAAGTTGAGGGTGTCTCTTCAGATGTAGGCGATGCCCCTTGGGTTGAATTACACTCACCTGTCCCCTGTAACCCTGCCCCTTCTGGCCTTTTTTTTGGATGGAACTTTCTAACAATAAGGGTCCTCCAATAAAAGCCCACTTCCAAATGTGCACTCTCTCTCTCTCTCTCTCTCTCTCTCTCTCTCTCTCTCTCTCTCTCCAGCCTCTCCTGACTTTCTCCTGCTCTCCCATTTGGGGACCCTGAGGCCAAGAGCGGAGAAGCCGTCCTGAAACTCGTTTAAAGGTAAAGTGGTCTGCGTTTTATTTGGTGTTTCTGGAAATTCACTTGAGCGACCTTAAGTTTAGCTGCCTGTGCGGGTCAGAGGAAGCAGAAATTAACAAGAGTAAAAACGAGTTGAGATTGTATAATAGCTGGGAACTAAGAAACATGATTTTTATAACCCCAATCTTTTACATTAAACCTTGGTTTGAAGAAAATAAGCTTAGGAAAATGTTCTTCTAATCTTATACTATGAAGACTTGTACACGTGGAAGATATGTACACATTTACTGTACAGAGAGACCAGTAAAGCACCACAATTAACAGATGTTTTTATATTGACTAAATTTAGCATTTAAAGAAAAATTCAGAATTTTTAATGTAATGTAATACACTCAAATAACAGTTGTTTAAGCAGAGTTGTACAAACCCTAATTCCTTTAAGGCCAATTGCTCTAAAGAATAAAACTTAACATACACAATAAATTATCTTTTTTTAAACCTTTATTTATTTATTTTAGTTGTTGATAGACCTTTATTTATTTATTTGTGGTGCTGAGAATCGAACCCAGTGCCTCACACGTGCCAGGTAAGCGCACTGCTGCTGAACCACAATCCCAGCCCAAGAAATTATCTTGATAGATAGGAGCAAATTAATGTCTTAAGAAATCTTTGTTAATTTAACCCACAAAGGATCAAACTTTGGTTTACATCAGTACATCGATATTTGGCCTTAGGAAAAAGCTTTAAATAATTTTGACTCTGCTAATTATATACATCTAATTTAGTCATACAAACTCTTTGAAATTCACCCTCCACAATCCTTCTGCAACTTAGACATTTTATAACTTTTTACTTAACCACACAAAAGACTTTCTCATCCAGAAACATTTTCCCTTCTACTTTCTATATTAAAATACATTTCCATACCTAGAACCTTCTTGTATCTCTTTCCCAGCTGTTGACCCTTTTTTAAAAAAAATTTAATACTTATTTTTTAGTTTTCGGTGGACACAACATCTTTATTTTATTTTTATGTGGTGCAGAGGATCCAGCACGTTACCGCTTGAGCCACATACCCAGCCCCAACCCTTTTCTTAATTCACACTCTGAAACCATTTTTAATATTAATTTATTTTTTAGTTGTAGTTGGACACAACACCTTTATTTATTTGTTTTTATGTGGTGCTGAGGATCGAACCCAGGGCCTTGCTCGTGCTAGGCAAATGCTCTACTGCTGAGCCACAACCCCAGCCCTCACTCTGAAACAATTCTAACAAAATTTCTGAAATTTGACAAATTACTCCACTTTAATAAGATAAAATACTTTGTTTTTATGGTACTTTAAATGAAGCCCAAATGAAACCTCTTGAACTCTCTGCATATAAATCACAACTGATAGTATCTTAACTCTTAAAACCCTTGTTTTCAGTGAAAACACAGACAAAGCAATCTTAAACATTTTTCCATTTACCAATTTATGAAAACACACATAATGTTTGAATATATTACCTTATGGAATTTAAGAAGTGAAAAGTACCTGATTTTATATTCAGCAGTTAGAACTTTAACTTTGTAAATTTATTTATGATTAATCTGACTTATGTTTAATCTAATTTATTCATTTTTAACTGTAAAAACCAAGATATCATAAATGTAGTTAGCAGTATTGGCCATCACTTCCTTGTTGGAAAAAATCCTAGAAGCAATGGATATTACATTCTAGACATTTTATAGAAATCAACACTCTATTAAATATTGTCTGACAACTTAGAAAAACTTGCAAGTTAGCAATTTAAAAAAAATTTTTTTTAGTTGTAGATGAACACAATACCTTTATTTATTTATTTATTTTTATGTGGAGCTGAGGGTTGAACTCAGGGCCTCACCCGTGTTAGGCAAGTGCTCTACTGCTGAGCCACAACACCAGCCCTTATGAGTTAGTAATTTAAAGACATATTTACTCTCATTTGTTTACCTAATTTAATTTGAACATTTTCAATCATGTGAACTTAAAGATATCTGGATCCATTTTCCTTTTAAATTTTAATTTATGAGTGCTCATTTATCTATATGCCAATTTTGATACATGTACATGACATATGAACACAAATACATGTAGACACAACACACGATACACATGATACACACGTACACAAAACAGACAGGAGACAGAGAGCTTGTGGCTGTTTGTTGTGAGAGGACATTTTCCCAATGTACTTGAGAGCTAAACCTTGAAAATTAGCCTTTGAACTTTGACAAAGTGTAAAAACTGTAGTTAGATAAAATAAGACTGATCAGAAAAAGATTAATCTAGGCACACAGGATCAATGTGGCTCCATCATGAAACCATGGGCACAAAAATATAGAATCTAGGCGTTGGGGATTTAGCCATAGCAGAGCCCTTGCCTAGCATGAGTTTGGTTCTTGGCCCTGAAAAAAATATATAGAATTTTAAAGACAAGAGTTCTAGAAAATGACACAGCCATTACGTGATCAGAGTTCACTTTTTGGCTCAGATTAATTTAGATACTGAAAGAATGAGAGGGCCCTGGAATTGCCAGGTAAAGACGCTCCAGGTAAAGAAGACTTGACCATTCCCTTCCCTACCCGACCTGTAGTTTAGGGAGGAACTTGTTAAGACAGCAGTGTGGTCAGACATTTGGGTCCAAAAGGCATCTGGGATGTACAAGTGACCCTTCCCCCCTCTATGGTCCCAAATCGATTCTGTGTGAGCCTGGCCCGTCTTGCAGGCCCCCACGATTTATAGTTCGAATGTGAGCCTTGGTGAGCGGGAGACCTGGCAGAAGCCAAGGGAAGCTGCAGTCTTGAGCTAAACTCACGCCTGCGGTGTGTTAGCCCTTTTTTCTTTGTAAAATCAGCCTCCTAAGGTGTGATCCTGTGATTCATGATTCCCCCAGAGACCAGTTTTACCCCCCAGTTGATAATCAGGCCAGGTTGGTGCAGAAAGTCATCCGGCATCTCCTTTATCTCAACTGTGGTTAGGTCATCCCCTAACATCGAGGAGCAAGCTCCCCTCCAAACAAAAAAATAAAAATAAAAATAAAAAAAGAGAGAGAGAAATGGGTGCCTGTGGGGAGGACACTGTCTCTTTGGCTAGGGGACAGCTCCCTGATCCCAGAGCCTCTAGGGGGTCAGTAGCTTCTGCCTTTCCTTCCATGATCTCTGGCTGGGCCTCACTGAGAATGGAGGATGATTTTTGATAACTATCTTAATTTAAGGGAGGACATTTTCCAGCTGGTTGTGCCCTTAAAATGTCTCGCATGCTCCCTTGGTCCTGTGGGTCCTCACACTCACAGGACCACGGTTGCACATCGTGCCTCCCAGTTTGAAGTGGAGGCTCGCCTGGCAGTGCTCTGGGTGACGTCTCCACTAGAGAAATAAATGGCTTGGATTCCTGAACCAGGACAGAGGAGGGGTGGCTCTACTCTGATTAACAGGGATGGTGTCTCCACCTGCAATCCCAATCCTGCAGGACCCCCAGGGTCCAGATGAGCCAAAAGCCTGGGGTCTCTGCAGGGCGCTTCTCCACGAGACCAAAGAATGAGAAGGCCAGTGCTGTACGTGGGAACAAAGTGGCCAAAAGTGGCCTCTGACCTGAGGTCTGAGCACAGAAGGAAGGAATGGGGAGGGGCGGGTAGGAGGAGGAGGCCAATGAAGGACCGATGAAGGACCCGATGCTGGTCCTTGCTCCATCACCTGGCTCTAAGGCTCAGGACTGAGGCTGATTGCCAGTTGGTACTGGCCTCCATGAGCCACAGTGGACCTGGGGAGCAGGAAGGGTCACCTATGAGGCAGAAAGAGAGAAGACACGTCTGGAAATTCAGCCATGCTCACCCTGGCTGGGGGCTCCCCTGGCCACAGAGCCAGAGACGTGCGCGTCCTTCAACACTACCCCTGAAGTATTGGGGTTCACGTCAGTGATCTTCGCTTAAATGCAACAAGAAGCTGTGAGTCAGGGTGCAGCTTAAGGCAGGGCTCCCTGGGGCCGCAGCAGCAGGCCCTGCAGCCCCCACCTCTGCATTCCGTGTCCCTGTCCTCTCCTGGACCCTGGGCTCCAAGGCTGTGCTCGGCAGGGGCGCAGCACGACTCGGCTCACGGAGGAAGCGGGTGCTGCCCCCAACCCGCGTGGGCAGCTGTACTTAAGGTCACTCGTGTGGATTTCCAGGGACACCAAATGAAACACGGACACACTTTACCTTGAAACAAGCTTCAGGATGGCTTCTCTGCCCTCGGGCTCCGGCTCCCCACACGGGAGGGCAGGAGAAAGTCAGGGGAGGCTGGCGAGAGCGAGCACGTTCATAAGTGGGCTTTTATTGGGGGGACCTTATTCTTAGAAAGTTCCATCCACAAAAGGCCAGAAGGGGCAGGGTTACAAGGGACAGGTGAGTGTAATTCGTCCAAAGGGCCATGGGGCGACACACCTATGTCTGAAGATGCGTCCTCAAACTTCCAGGGCGGGGCAATGTCCAGGTCACCAGGAGATGCAGTGGTGGTCAGAGCCTCTCTGCTCCAGGATGGAAGGGGCAAATCGTTCAGAGTGGCTCCCACATGTTCCCCCTGCTTTCTTTGTAAAAGCAGGTGATGGGTCACTGTTTCGAGTCCCTGAATCCATGTTCTGAAGGATCTCCTCCTACAATGACAATATAAGAGAGAATCCGCAGCAAAGAGAACAAGACAAGGATAGACCAGGCAGAGTGTTTCAGAATGTTTCAGGGTTAAAGCCGTTTAATTCTTTTAATATTTGATCAGCTAAGGAAGCAGGAGCCGAAAAATCAATCTCACTTTTTTGTATTTCTTGAATGTGATGATGTAACTCCAAAAGATCCAAGCTGTTATTATTATTTTGCCAAATACCCAACAAATGGTTGTCAACCTTCTCCCAACCCCGTTGGGGAGCCGTGTATTCGGCAGCAGTAACACCCACAGACTTACAGTCCGCGTGACATTGAAGTGTTTCCTTGAATTTCAAAGCTGCAAGCTCATGACCAGTATTTATGACAGTAGCCTCTAAGGCATCTGGCTTAGTCTCAGTCCTTTCATCAATATTTATTTGACTATGAAGAGCCTTGGAAGAAATCTGAGCCAAAGCATTAAGAAAATCTGCATGCTGAATGTTTTCAGATAAGGCCACCGGAGCTGGAAACCGAGGCAACAGCTCCCACTGTCACGGGTCCAGGAGCACGTTGGTCTCGCTCACTGGGCGTGTGTGTGTTTAAGACCTGAGAACCAGCATCGGCGCACCACGGCCCTGAAATAATCGCTGGCAACGAGACAAAAGAGGGCTGAGGAGCATCTGCATTCCTCCCCTTATACACCTGGTGATAGAGTCATTCAGATTACCTTTATCACATGTCACAAGGTATCTGTCACCTCTCCTTCCCACTTCCCACGTCCAGTGATTAAAACCTAAGGAGACCGAACACAGGCCCGTAGGCCAGAGCAAGGACCTTCCTTCCAGTTTCTGCCGACGAACTCTGGTAAAGGTCGGTCAGCAAGATGTAGGCACCAGACACCTTTCTGAATGCCACCTTCACTGAAGGTCAGGATGGTGCTAACAAATCCTCCAGGGGTCGTGGCAGTGCCCTTGCACAACAGCCTTTTGTCGATTTTAGGAGACCAGTCCAAGGTGGACCCACTGTTCTAGACACCTTATGTCGAATTGGACAAGTACTTACACAGTTTGCCCACTTAGGAAAGGTGCCAACTTCTACTGCAGAACAGTTGGGACAGTGGGTACTCGTGGGCGTTCTGCTGAGGTGGCTGGGTTGTTATGAGAAAGTCCTGTTTTAATAACTGATCTGATCTAAGGCTTTAAGGCCCTGGGGGCAGTGCCATTAGCTGGTCTAGGTCCCCAACTCCTGTCTTTTCCTCAAATGACACTTTTAGACAGCCAGCATGTCTATCGTGGGACCAGCCAAGGTAGTTGGGCACTATAGGCAGAATAGTTAAATCCCGTCACACGGACCGAGTCAAGTGGGTGTCTGCAAACCCTCCCAGCGTACCTGAGTCATTAGTAAGTCCTGGGTGCATTCTCCAGTCCACACCGCTGGGTGCACTCAGGGTGGGCTGGAGCCATGTCCAGTGGTTCCCCCGATTCCCCTTTACCACAGCTCAATGGAGGGTCACTGCAGAGAGCATCGTCGCTGGGGACTCACTCTCCCCTGCCGTGGAGTCAGTCTCCTGGGTCCTTCCGTGACGGGAGCGTCCTCATTCAGTTTCTCGGGGACATCTTTCTTCCCCTCTTCCTTTGGGAGTTCTTCCTTTTGAGGGAAGGGTTCTCTGGGTCCATCTTCAGCGGTTTGAATCTTGGTTCTAGGTCCTCCATGCCTGATGGCGCATTCAGGTTCCCAAATAGGACAAGAAGCATCTTCTGGGAAAATACACGCATGACCTCTCCCCACATGACAACTGGACCTGGTCCTCTCCATTGGCCAGTCGGTAAGTCCTTCCACCAAACCCGGCCTAAAGGGCCTGTTGCTGTGGAAGCCACGTGTCGCTCGGCTGCGGTGTGATTCTCTGAGTCACAGTTTAGAAAATTCAGAATGAACAGAGCATGATTGAGGTTGTTTTGGGGAGTCCTAGTCCTATCTCCCCCTTTTTAGTTTTTGTAATTGTAGCTTAATGGATAAATGAGCTCGTTCCACAGTGGCTTGACCTTGGGGGTTGTGAGGAATCCCTGTTTATGGTCGATACAAAACTCTTGGCAAAATTGTTGAAAAGAAGAGCTTGCATAAGCCGGTGCGTTACCAGTTTTAATCTGTCAAGGACATCCTAAGACTGTAAAGGCAGCTACGCAGTGAAAGATGACGCGTTGAGCATTTCTTTTGCACGGGCTGTGGCAAAGGTAGATCTAGAGTAAGTATCTACAATTGCGTGCACATTAACATTGTTTACCAGACTGAGGAATGTGAGTTACGAACATCTGCCATCATTGATTTGGCTTTAATCCAGGGGGATTTACCCAGATGGTAAAGGTGGAAAGTGTCTAACACACTGCGGGCAGTGACGTACAAGTTGACGAGCTTGCTCTCTAGTAACATTAATTTTTTATGTAAACTGGAAGCATTTTGATGATGTAAGAAATGCAAAGCTTGTGCACAGTCATACAAAGACATTTGCTGACAAACAGCAACCGATTTATCAGTCTTATCATTACCTGATGTTAGAGGCCCTGGAAGATCAGTGTGGGCCGGTATGTGGCCTATAAAACATGGCTATTGGCACATCTGTGGCGTCTTTTGCAAGGTATGAAACAAATTGAATAACTCTTGTGATGGTGTATACCAAATAATTGAAGTTTCGATATTTTTTGTAACTAATTAATAAATATTAATTAGCTCATTGCAAAATGACTTAAAGCACAAACCAGAGCTTGAGTTCTGCTCGCCGGGCAGAAGTGTACAGTCTGTGTCACCTCTGTGTGAGCGTGACTGTAAAACCTGCGTTCCCCCGAGTCGAGCCACCAGTGAGCACGGTTAGGGCGCCATCTATTGGTTGTGCAGGCACGATTTTGGAAAAATAAATGCAGTTACTAAGGCAAATTGAGTCATTTTAGCACGAGGATATTGACTTTCTATCTGACCAGGAAAATTAGCAAAAGCTATTTTCCAAGTATTAGAAGTTTGGAAAATCCAATCCTTCTGTTGAGCAGAAAATGGGTTGATTATAATCTTAGGTTCTGATCCAACTAGCTGTAAAACTCACGTTCTGCCCTTCATAACCAACTGAGCAACAAATTCATGAGAAGGAGCTGATGGCTTTTGAGGGGAGTGGGCTAAATGGACCACTCAAGCACCCCCAGTGTTTGCTATATTGCTCCTGCAGGAGCGTGAGCCGTTGGGAGTATCAATAAATACAGAGGCTCTGTGGGCTAACTCTAGTACGCTGAGCATTTTAAAATTATTTTTTAGACATTTCCTCAAGAAGGGCAAAGCAAAAAGAGAGAAAAAAGACATCAAATACAAACCTAAAAACACCATCCTATGTCCTCATTCCTCATCCACATAAATAATGGCCGTCACCCTTCAGTACAAATGACTCAGGTAATGACAAGTGGCCCCTCCAGGAAAGGTCCTACTGTGTGATGGGGCTAGCTCGCTGCGGGGGTCTGCCGTCCACTGCCTGCAATGGCCATGCTGCTGGGAAAAGCCTAGCCCGAAAGAATCAAAAAAACAAAACGAAGCAGCACTCACCCCTGCCCCGAGGACACTGGACACCGCGGAAGCTTGACTAAGAGCCAAGCCACAGCACACGTGCTCTGCGTCATGAATCGCAGCCACCCAGTAGGTCTTCATGGGGAGGAAAATGAGTTGCTCGGCGTGGCCCCAACAGCGTCAGCACTAACCCTGGCTGCAAGAAGGCGGGGCGGGGGCGGGGGCCGTGAAGGAAGCTCATGAGAGTGTGAACCCCGTATTCCCAAACCGACGCATGTTAATTTGTGCACTTGTGCCTACATTCAACCTGCTACAGTTTTAACATTCAAAGACAAACCACAGAAAAGCCCTTCTACTTTGCGTGGTAGAAATGACCCGTGGCACGTTACCTGTCTGTGCAGTCGAATGATCATGGTGATGTCATTTTGAAATGCTGACATTGTCAAGTAAACCAAATGATAGGTGGCATATGCCTCTGAGAAGTCATGGCTCCTACCTCCTTCCAGAAGTCAGCCTCTTAAGACAGTCAGGTTAGTTCTGGAAACACCGATGGTAACAGCTGTTTTGTCTCTTTTCTGAAATGCTACCTTGGAGACCAAAGAAAGTATCATTGGTTCATTTGAAAAAAGGGACTAGAAATATGCTACAAAATTATTTTCTTTTTCTTTTTTTTCCCCCCTGCCAGTCTTTACAAAATTACAGTGTCTATGGTTTTTACAGCTTTCTGATTTGTATAACAGGCTACTGTCACCCAAGGATGGCTGTGTGCTTTTATCTTTCTCTTGTCATTAATTCTGATTAATGGTTTGGTTTTGGGGGGGTCTCACAAATGGCACCTTGAGATAGATTTAATAACAAATTACTATATGGAAAAAAATCACAAGAGGGGACAGGATTCCCCCTTGGATTAAATGCAGAATGTTGTTGTGTAGTGTGCTTGGATGCTTGTACCTGTTTTATTACAAAGTGATAGGCACTGAATATTTATCATAGTCATAGTGTTTTTTTAAAGTTCATTTTAGAAAAAGTTAAGCTTTGAGTTTTGTAGTACAAAATTATTTTCAAAATATATTTTTTGCAGAAATGATCTCTATAGGAAGCTTTTTCTTTATTTCTTTTTAAAAAAAATATTTATTTTTCGGTAAGACACAATACCCTTATTTTGTTTATTTATTTAGTTTTATATGGTGCTGAGGATCGAACCCAGGGGGCTGAGGCTTCAGAGGCACCCTCACGGGGACTGAGCCCGGGTGCTTGCCCACCAGGCTCGCCCTTCTTAAATCCACCGGCTCTCACAGAACCACCTGGGCTCCGAGAGACCCCTGAGCTCCCTTCCCAGGACAGCGCCCCCGTCACTGGGGATCTGCAGTGCCTCGGCGTCCACCCCCCCCACCCCCCGGGGCCAGGCCTCCAGCACCGTTGCCCACAGCACCTTCCCACTTGCGCTTGCTTGACATGGGCATGGGGCAGGGGCCAGCGGGGGGACGGAGGGCGCTGGAAGCAGGAGCGGCGTTGGGGGGACAAAGGCCCCTCCTGCCGTCCAGAAGCACAAGTGGCCAGGGTCAAAGGGCGTCCCAGGGCCAGGCTGCACACTCTGGTGGCCTCTCTAGCACTGCACATGGGTGGGCGGGAGGCAGGGTGAGGCCCGCAGTGCCACCAGAGCTCAGAGCAAGAGGAGCAGGGACGGCCAGCATCCCATCATGTTCTGTGCCCACGCCGGCCGGCTGCCCTATGGGACGACGCGTCCCGCCACACTGGGCTGTGACAGGCACACTCCACTCATCTCATTCTGCCACATCCCTCCCCGACAGGCCTGTATCCTCACAAGCCCCACCCGGCACAGTGGTGCCGTGCTGGCTGTGCTGTCCGCCAGGCGGAATGGCCGCTCCTAGATGGGCCAGCTGTGGCGGTCTCCAGTGGCCTCTCACCGACCTCCTGGAGTATCCGTCACTCTGCTGACCACCCCAGGATGAGCCATGACTCCGCACGCCCTGGCACATTACCACTGTGTCCCCGGGCAGCAGCATCTGTGCCCTGAGAGCGTGACGACTTCCAGGTCACTTCAGAATGAGAAACAGTAACCAGCTGTCCTTCGATGGACAAGGAAAAGCCAGAGCAAAGGTCACTGTTGTCCACAGCAAGTGGCCACGTAGAGGTCACAGAGCAGGCAGGCGCTGGGTCACGAGCTGGCCTGCGGCTCTCTGCTCCTCGGCTCACAGCTGCGTCCTTGGGGTCTTTGTGAAGCACAGACCCCCCAGCCCAGGCCCACCCCAGGGCTCTCGGCCACCTGCATCGTGCGGGAGACCACATGGGGACTGGTGTTCACTGTGGCAGTTTCCACTGTCCTGGCCAAAACGGTCACTGCTCCTGGCCTTCCAGGGTTGGTGGGTGGGTGAATTATGAGTTTCCTTTTACTGTGGCCACTAGATGGCTTTTTTGCACTAGGGATGGAGCCCAGAGGCTCTACCCGAGTCACTTCCGCAGCGCTCTGTTGAGACAGGTCTCACTAAGGCTGGCCTTGAACCCGCCATCCTCCTGCCTCAGCCTCCTGGTTGCTGACTGCAGGTGTGTGCCACCGTGCCTGGCTGCCTACCAGAGATTTTTAAGTGGCATGTGACTCACACCGTGTTTCTTTTGGGCTGTCCAGGAGAGGCCATCTGCCATGCTCCCACCCAGGTGCCTCCCGAAGCCCTCTTGAGGGCAACCAGGAGAGGTCCTGATACATGCTGGACCAGGCCAGTATTGCAGTCCCTGCCTCCTAGAACCCCTGGCATGTACCAGGTGCGTGGCAGTGCCCCAGGCTTGGTGAGAACAGAGGGGGGCACAGCCCCAGAACCCCTCCCCAAGGAAGTGAGGACTGGGGTGGACGTCTGGCCCACACCCAGTGGCCTTGGAAAGGAAGACCACAGCTGCTTCCCGCAGCCACGCTGAACCAGAGTGAGTGAGTCCACCAACCCTGCACAGGTCTGGTCACAAGGTCACAGCAAAGTCTCCTGGTGGGTGCTCGGGAGAAAGCACTATCTGTGGGCACGAGGCTGGAGCCGCTGACCAGGCAGGCTGCATGTCCCAGGAGGTCCCATCTCCACCAGGCCACGAGTGCACACAGGGTCCTGGGCTCAGGTGAGGCCAGGGCTGAATGTGGAGGGGAGAGGGAGATACCCGCAGGAGTAGAGAGATCTTAGCGGGCGACCCCAGGACCTTGGTTTGGCCAGATAGAGCCGAGGGCCCTTCCCAGGTGCCCAGTGTGAGCTTGTCCCCAGGGACCCAGGCATGCCAGAGCCCGGAGCCCAAGCACACCACTGCCTGGAGCCACACACAGGCTGGCCAGATCCCGAGGACCGAGTGGGACGTTAGGGGTCACAGAGACATCTCGTGTGACCAAGCGTAATGGCCACCTGCAGCTACTCCACGACGGGAGGGAGAGCAAAGACCAGCCGGGAGCCCCTTTTGTTTGACATGTTTAATGGCTGCATCTCAGAACCACCTCGTAGACCGAAGGCGGCCCTCAGAGGGACACCCTAGTGCAACAGGACGAGGCCCTCGCCAGGGAGGGCACTCGAGCGCCAGCTCGCACACCAGCTCCAGCCCAGAAGGGGCCACAACAGGACATCCGAGACCTGGACGTGACAAGGACAAGGGAGAGACTGCCCCTTGTGTGCTCACCCTCAAAAAGCACCGTGCTGGTGGCCGCCCACCCCAGACTGGGGCTAAGGCACAGGGCGGCAGGAACGTGGGCTGGACGTGGATCCCGTGGGCAGCGTCAGCAGGAGGGCGGCTCACTGCCCTCCACCTGCAGTCCCTTGCTCAGGAGGAAGGCGTCCTGCCTGGGGTCGCGGCCCAGGAAGAGCTTCAGCATGGCACTGGCGTCCTCGGAGCCACCGGGCCTCAGGATGGTGCTTCTGTAGTCCATGCCAACCTGCCAGGGCAGAGCAAGCTGGGCTGGGCGCAGAGGGCGGGAGGTGGGCGGGTGGCTGGGAGCACGCGTGCGACCCCATGCCCAGGGCCCGCGTCAGTGCGGACGCCTGGTGGGAAGTCCCTGGTGGAGGCTCAGGAAGGGCTGGGCCTGGGCCAAGGCTGAGCAAGGCTGGACAGGCTGCTGGGGTTCAGCAGGGGCCCTGTCCGGGAACACAGGGCCGAGGACTCAGCACCACGCCCTAGAGGCCTGGCCTCCACCTGCCCCTCTGCCACCTGGCAGTGGGCCTGAGGCCCAGGGTGTGCCGTTCCTGGTCCTGGACCAGGGACCATCACAGAACTCTGGACTGATGCAGGCTGAGACCCTTCCCTGGAGACCCCTGACCCGTGCTCGCTGCCCTCACCTTGCGGTTCAGGACACCCTCCTGCTTGAAGCGCGTGTGGAACATGTCCATGGAGTACACCTCACTCCACAGGTAGCCATAGTACTGGGCGTCGTAGCCCCCCGCCAGGTGGCCGAAGGTAGCAGGCATGTTGGTCCCTACACAGAACAGCGAGGCTCAGGTGCAGCCTCCTGGGCTCCCAGGGAGGGAGGTGCCAGCAGCTGTCCCAGAGCCTGGCCAGGCAGGAGGTGGGCACATGGCCAGAGGGAAGGTGCTGCTCTGCAGGCAGGGTGGGCATGCTTGGGTGTCACATGGGCACCCCAACGAGGGGCTTGGGCTGCTGGCTCCAGGCACACCCCCTGGTTGGCCACACCCATCATCCCAGTAACCCAGGAGGTCACGGCAGGAGGGACGCGGGTTCCAGGCCAGTGGGCAACTTAGCCAGGCCCTGGCTCAAAACAAAAATAAGGGCTGGGCTGGGAGCAGGGGCACAGCCTGTAATCACAGAGGCTCGGGAGGCTGGGGCGTTGGACTGTAGGTTCAAGGACAGCCTCAGGAACCGAGACCCTGTCTCATTAAAAATAAGGGCTGGGCTGGGGCTCAGCGGTAAAGTGCTCGCCCAGCACGTGTGAGGCCTGCCGTCCACCCCAGCTGAAAACCCCTCGTGTGAAAAATCTCTTAAGTGCTTACGAAATATTAATCCATAAAACGCTGCATGTTGAGGGGCTGGGCTGGGGCTCAGTGGTAGGGCGCTCAGCTAGCACGTGCGGGGCCCTGGGTCCCATCCTCAGCACCACATACAAATAAAATAAAGGTGCTGTGTCCCCAACAGCTAAAACGACAACAACCAATGCTGCAGGTTGAAGCAGCGTCGTCCTTGTGTGCACGAGCGTGTGCACACAGCCCAAGGATGCACACCACGCGCTGTGCCCTCGTTTTCTGTCTTAGACTCTGCGGTCTGCCATGCTTCAGGATCAAGAAGACCCTAGTTCCCTCGTTTGTTTCTCTGAAGCAAAGGCCCAGGAGAACCTGGGCCTGAGAGCCAGTCTCCCCGACACCGCCCCTAGTCGGCGGTGGTTTGCCCCCCACGGCGACTCCCACCCACCAGGTAGAAGGCGAGTGGCCCTCGTGGTGCGGCGGACAGCCCCCAGCGAGGTCTGGCACACAGAGACGCAGCAAGGAGGAAGGAGGAAGGAGGGGGCAGGAGGGGCACCCGCCGCTCCCCCCACACCATGGAAGTGTGGAGCCAGACCACGCCACGGGGCGGGGTGTCCTGGGCTGCCCAGGGGAGCCGCCTCCCCTGCCATGACCCTGCATGTCCTGACATCACTGTGTCCCTCTGGGCGGCCACTGTGGAAACCCTGGTCAGGGAAGCCCTCCAGCAGCAGGTGCTGGCAGGACACTGAGTGACGCCTGGCTGGGAGCCAAGGAGGGGCCGGGGAGCTGGAGGGGCGAGAGCTCGATGCAGTAGGGTCACCCGGCAGTGGAGAGGGCCGTCGGGACTGGGCCAGACACAGCAGCTCTGGGCACCCGGCGCAGGGCCGCCTCTCCCCTGGCTGTGGCCCCTGTCCAGGACGGGCTGGGATGGCAAGCGGCTACCTGGTGTGGCCGGGACCCCCAAGATCTCCTGGCAGAGCCGGGCATACTCCTCGGCGGGGTCTGCGTCTGTCTGCGTGTGCAGGGCCTGGTCCACCTTGGCGAGGACGATCTGGCGCAGGTTGAAGAGGCCTAGCGGGAGGAGGCGGACAGGAGGCTGACGTGGGTGGCCTCAGAGGTCCAGGCCCTGGCAGGACACACCGGGGCCACAGGCTGAGGGCAGAGCCCCTGTCCCCAGGAGCGCACCTGTGTTGGCCTGCCGGGACTTGATGAGCTTGTCCAGCAGCTCCTGGGGCACGGCGCTGCCCGTGCGGTAGTGCTGGGACATGCGCAGCAGGGGCTCCTTCTCCCACACCCAGTTCTCCAGCATCTGGGA